CTTAATATCTAAACTCTAGCTATTTAGGTTTTTTCAAAGAAAAATTTTTAAGTTTTTGCTATACACATATAAGGAAAATCAATGACCCCCGGGGCGGGGCCAATTTTGACCCCAGGGCTTTTATTTGAACAAACTTTGTAGACACTCACTAGAAAATGTTTCATGCTTAATAGCTTAACTCCAGCTATTTGGGTTTTTTTAAAGAAGATTTTTTAAGTTTTTACTATATGCATATAGGGAAAATCAATGACCCCCTGGGGCGGGGCCAATTTTGACCCCAGGGCTTTTATTTGAACAAACTTGGTAGGCACTTATTAGAAGATGTTTCATGCCAAATATCTAAGCTCTAGCTCTTAGGGTTTTTTAGAAGAAGATTTTTTAAGTTTTTCTGACTGGTTGCCATGGCAACCAGAGTTTTTAATGGAATTTAAATTTTTGAACAACTTTGAAAGGGGTCCACCTAAGGATCATTTCTGTAAGGTTGCAATTGGCCATATGGTTTAGGAGGAGATGTTGTTTGAAAAGTTTGACGCCATTTTTTGAAGGACGCACGACGCACGACGGACGCAGAGTGATGACAAAAGCTCACCTTTGAGCACTTCGTGCTCAGGTGAGCTAAAAACAATTGACTTAAAGATATAAACAGACTTGACTGGAGCTGAATGACTACAAAACTGTCTCTATCAAAAAAGTTATTGATCTCTATGAAAAATTGTTAATCAAATCAAATGTATGAAAGACAATTGTATGAAATATATATGTCAAAAGTCTAAAAGCACATTATTATCTACAGTAAGTACGAACAAAAACTTATGTAAAATATATCTAATAAATACTATTAAGTATGTACATATATATACACTTTTTCTCAACATCTCTCTACATGACTAGACCAGACAGAGGTGCCCACAGTCATGTAGTATAGTAAGGGATTGGAACTTTATTCTTTCTGATTTTCTTTTATAAAAGTTAGACCTGCAGACATTTTAGCAATATCGATATTAAAGGTAATTTCAAATCATCTGAAACCTAATGTTCAGCAGACTTCAAGTTATAAAAATGTAAGAAGAGCTAAAATGGTCTATAACAAAAAAAATTGATCCCTATGAAAAAAGCACATATTGTTAATCCCTCATGTAAAAAACATAAATGTATGAAATATATATAAAAATCTAACAGCACTTCATCATCTACAGTAAATACAATCAAAAAGTTAAAATGACATAAAATATATCTAATAAATACTTATATGATATGTACATGTATATATACACTTTCTCTGAGCATCTAGCTACATGACATGAAGAGAGGCAAAATGCTGTAAGACAATTATGGTCGCCAGGTTGTACGAACGCTTAATCAATGCACTTTTCTTACCTATCTTTAACACATTCTAATAATATCTTGTTCCCACACAATGTGATAGAAATTGAGTGCACTGTCATTTATATAATATTGTGTTCTAACTTAAAACACTGGCCAGTGCTATGCAATATTCTATTACTTTTCTTTGATTTCAGGCATAAAGTCTGTCAAGAAGAAGTCTCTTAATTTTGAGGTCATGTCTCTCCAATATTGATGATCAAAGGCAATTCTCTGAATGCCAAGGCCCTTATTTGTGTATGCAATGAAGTCACAAAATAGTGCACCACAAACTCCTAACTGGCCTTGGACCTGTGCATAGTATTCGTGGTCTTTTTTTAATTTAAAATGGCCATCTTCATACTTGCAGAAAAATGATGGATCCATACAAGCCTCAACAGGTGTGATATTTCTTTTTGAATATGTACATTTGACCTCAATCAGTCCAAAACCAGCATCCTCATCAAATAAAATACCGTCTGGTGAAGCAGCCAACCAAGGAAAATTTGAATTAATGACACAACCAGCTTTGAATGCCTTAACACGTCTCCCTGTGTTGTTCATATACTGAATATACTGTTTCAAAGCCTTTTCTTCATTCTCCTGTCCATATTTAATAGATGGCACATTAGAAAGATTTTTTTCACAAGTAACTGGGTCTTTATAAATTTTCCTTTGTCTTTCTTTCTACGAACAATAGCTCCGAATTTACTGGCTGTCAGCCGACATTTCCGTACTTCATGCCAGAGCTCACATGATGACTGATCAGTTGTTTTTTTGAATATATCAGTTGCTTGTTCACTAGTAATATGAAGGCCAGCTTCTATTTAAACCTTTTGGGGTATTTCATCAATGCCACTGTCATTCCATGGGAAATTGGGGACTTTTGAAACATTATCACATTGTGTGCCTTTTATTGCAGAAACATTCGCACTGACAAAGTTCCCTTCAGTCTGGCACAGCTGGTATGACAATGGCGAGCCATGAGGAACAGTAAAACCCATACGTGTACTAGTACTCTGCGCCTGGTTTCCCACTGTCATACACACTCCAAGCAGTGGGTTGATTTTGCCTAACTTTGATATTGTGTCATTTGTTACCTCTAGATTTTTGTTTGCATTCATACCCCTTGCTTCATACAACGATGATTTTATACCTTTTGACTGACTTCCGTACTTTGGCTTTACCACTGATGCAGTCATAACCGGTTCAGAGCGAACCCCATCTGTCCTGCTTTTTACCCACTGAGCTGGTAGATCAGTACATGTTTTTTCTCTTACAAATGTATCCAATTTTAGTTTAATGACATGATCAATTGAATATAACAAAGCATATATATGATTACAGTGTCCCCCTGCTCCAGCAACACAGGAACAATTCCCACCAGTCACAGCACCAGTTACACTTAGAAACACTGTTAAAGAGTGAGGTGTTTCACTTTTCTTCATCGACCTGTAACACCTGGCCCTCACTGAAATACAATCACTTCTTTTACCTACTTCCTGGTTGAAAACATAGCCATCAAAGTAAAAGGCATATCCTTTGTCAATTGGTTTTTCAATATATTTTGTGTTCTTTCCAGACTTCTTTGAATAGTTAAGAATATCAAGATAAGAAAATGATTGTGGTAAGTCACTTGTTTTCTGGGTCCATGTTGGTGATTTTTCTGACTGGACTGACTGCTGCTGTGTTGTTTTATCTTTTGGTGAGCAGGCATTGCAGTTTGCTTTTCTTTTTGCCAAGTACGGTTGGCCCGGGTGAGGATCTACTACTTGCAGGTTCTCAACTTGTTCAAGGCACTTCTTAACCCTGAAAGATAAAATAATACAATCAACAGAATGATCTCCATTATCCTGGAAAATTCTCTCCTATTACTTTCTTACAATCACATTGTTGCATTTTGACATGGTCGACAACTTTTCTTGAGTGGTAGAAATTTTAATGGAAGGAAATAAAATATCTTTTAAGCTGCACGTCTCCAGATGAGCCAAAATATTTCAAGAAATTCAATATTTAGAAAAATGTATTAAGATCTTAAGAAAAGTAAAAAGATTCAATATTTAATCAATAATTTACATGTTATGTGCGATTAATGACTAATTTTGCAGTATCAATCACTATAATTCTACTGCGTTACAAATGCAGTAACAGGTATGTATGTATATTTTTACCACTTTTTGGTAATTAACATGGGTTGTAAGTGTTGTTTGTAATGTGTAAACTAATTTCTTTAGTTCACTTAACTATATTTTACTTTTTAGTACATTTTCAAAAGTTTCAGGAAAATAAGCATGAATCTAGGGCCATGCTGCTTTAAAACTTGATATATATTATAAGTGTTAAAGCTACTCTCCCACACAAAACAGGTCTAAAAACATCAACATATTTGTGTACAGTTATTAAAACAACACTGTTAGGGATAGTAGCTTTAAAGTGTTAATGAAGCATGCTTTTTCTTAAACATGTACAAATATGTATTTATTTATTCTAATTAATAATAATCAAAGTTAAGCTACTGACCAAGTGATAGCAAATTGAAATCAAATTTAAGTACTGAAGAAAAAATGGCCTGGTTATCAGTTACTTTAAATATCTCATTAATCCGGGTAAAAATTATAGACTGACTGTAGTTTGTATAACCTATAGAGGATATTCATTTTTTTCTATTGAAATACACTGGATTCATTTTTATTAAATACTTATAAATGAAATACTTAGAAAAATTGATGAAATAAATTGTATATCTTTATTTTCCGTACTTTTACTGATATCTTGCCAGACTACTTTCTTCTAAATTCAGCCAATACACAAAATTAAAAGGGAATTTTTCCTATTCCTAAGGTTAAAAAAGAGGAAAAGTATATTATGAATAGAAAATTCAAGTTTTACTTATTAATTCAGCATTTATTTCATCTTGTGGTATAAAAATTATCATATTTCACCTGTGGCTACTGCAACTCATGAAATATATAATTTTATTTGAATATCCTCAATTTATTAAGTGGTATGCAAATAAATATTTCATGAATGACAGTGGCCAATGAATGATAATAATAATTTTCATACCACAAGATGAAAAGCCTGTACTGAGAGAAAAACATGAATTCTATGTTTATCATGGATATTCTTCCATTTTTGACTTTTAGTTTGAAAGACTACCCGTTCATATTTTGTGTATTGGCTAAATTTTGAAAAAGTAGTCATGCAAGACACCAGTGAAAATACATTAAATATATTTCACTGCAGTGAAAAAAATAATTTTAAAACTGTAAAAATACGGTAAATAAAATAGTGCATTTCATTTCCTTAATATTTCTCAATATTTCATTTGTAAGTATATAAAATAAATCTTATTATATATTTTCTTATTACCTTAAAACCAGCTCTGATTTGGTTTCCTTTGATTTTACTCTCTGACACCTGCTCTTCAACCATATTCTCAATTCATTAACCTTGCACTTCTCAGGTGTTCTTGGCAGCACTGCTCCTGGTATATCAGTGGCTTTTAACTGAAAAATGTGTACAATTTAAAAAATATATGTTGTTTTTACCCAGGAGTGACATAGTAAATGAATGTAAAATCAATGGTTATTTTTATCAAATGCTTTCCCACACTTAACTCATTTGGTATGACTTTATGCTGCCCTAACACTTTAATTTAAGGTCATATGATATCGACTTGGGGGACTTTCTAGCTATGTTCCATGGGAGATTATTTGCTAGGGTCCGGGGTGGAGAAGGATGCTACAAATCTCTCTTTTTTTATAATTCAAAATTTCATTTTTTTTCTCCTTAATTGGAACTGTCTGACTTATATTTCTTGAATGCAGTGGTATGCAGGCTGGTCTGGATGTTAAATAGTAAATGATTAACTATTACACTATTCTTACTGTTAAGCAGCTCTAAGATGTTTTCATTGATAAATTTCTGTTTACTTCAGTTTTTGAACAGGGTATGGATTTAAAAATGGGGCACTTCCAGCTAAAGCTATTAATTATTTAGATGAAAAATAAAATTTCCTTTTTATTTTTATGTCATCATGTTCAGTTTATAAATTTATAAGCTTTTATTTAAATAAAAAATAAATTTTTCTTTTTATTCCTATGTCATTATGTTAAGTTTATAAACTAATGAATCTAAAGTTATTCACATAAATAAAATTAAAAAAAAATGTTCCTATGTCATTAAGTTACAACTATCAACTTCATAATAATTATTATGAACTTAATCATCAATACAAAATATGAGATTAAGATGAGACATGGTAATATCTAATTTTAAATTAATGTTATAATATCTGTATAAACAAAAGGAAAATTATGGAATTGTTATTCTTTAGGATTCTCTTAATCTTCAACTAATTGTGTAACATTTGCCCCCGCTGTGCTTGCCCCCAATAAAACACCATCAGTGACCATATTGACCACCTTGTAGCAGATTATGCAATTATACCAATCAACCATAGTGAAATCAATATTTATGGTTCAATTAACAAGTGGATGTGATTTATGACCCATATCACACAGGAAATGGACATTGTAATGCACCAAAGAGACACCCCTAGAATGTCACATAGAGACAAAAGTTAATTTAAAAATCTTAAAAAATGTAACATACTCTTTCTATTTTTGCACTTTAAAACATAAAAGTTTAATATTAAAAGTATTAAAGTGTAGAAAATGTAAAACAAATGTTTCTGCAAGTGAACTTTAAATACATTACATAAAAAAAATCAATACTTAGTGTTCACTTTTGTAATCAAATATGCAAAAAATCTCCCCATAAAATCCATGTTACATTTATATCAAAAAAGGTTAATTGTAAAATGAGCTAAAGAACATAGGGATAACTTGAACAGATAAATGCACATTTTCATGAGAATATAAAATTAAATGAATGTAAATGATTTTTATTTAATGCTGGGCAGAGTTGGCTCATTCAAAGTTATTTTATGAATAGGTTGATTCAAAACATGACCCAGGATGGTTATTGCCTGGAATTGGCATTTGTTCCATGATAAAAGTAATCACATAAACATTGGAAAACTGGTTGCAGTAAGTAGGAAGACACATTAATTTGCAAAAAAGAAGATCAATTTTAAATGAACCAACTTTGTATCAGCTATTATAATAAATATACTTACATTGTACATGTACACTTCTGTAAAACTGCTGAAGGTTCACCACTGTCAGAGGAAGACGTCATGAATCATTCAAAACAACTACTGAATTTAAGACATCTTTGATAATTGTATGGCCACAGATTGAAATAAATAATTAAATTATATTATATTTATTTTTTTTTCAAGCAGCTTTTGCATTAATATGATCTAAAATAAATATGAGGGAATATGATCAGATCATACAGTACAATTAATACAGTTAGATAGTTAGTGAAAACGAAACTGACATGTGACATTTGTGAAATATTTGAGCAACTAATAGATCGATTCATTAATTCAATATTAAACCTTTTGCCAAATATCATATTTAACGTTTGGAATTCCATCCAAGGAGGCTGAGCTATCTGATAGTGATAGACAGAAGAACAAATGTCAAAATGATTTGTATTGATTTTTCACGATAATCGCTAATGATAAGGCAAATAACTTATCTTTTTATAAGTTTATAATGTTTTCCATTAAATAACACCGATTGACAAAGTTAACTTACCGAATATAAGGCAAATTATCGGTTGACAGGTCGGTTTCTCCCGTTCTACTAACGGGAAAATGTTTACTTCAATCCCCCATTTACGTCACATCCGGTAAGGGAGGTAACTCTGTCGCGACGCAAATCGCTTAAATGAAAAGGTTTATAAGGTCAAGAAAATGAAAATGCGTGAGTTACTTGTATGATTTAGAGCATATAAATAGTATCGTATGGTAAAACGTATTGACATTGCAATTGATTTATCGATAGTTGTTATTTCAATTAATATTTCAGATTCAAGTGGCACCTGTCTAGTTTTGTTTATGAACATGTAACGTTATTCCCCCCCCCCCCCCCGAAATGGTCGCTTATGAAATCTATAGAATATATATGCATATAACATTTGTCGAGATGTTTTCCCTTGGTTTTTTTGGGGTTTTTTTGTTTATAAAGCCTTAGGATCATGTTAGTATTTAATCAACTTTAGTAGCGGAAATAAAACACAGTATTTGCGGCCGTTTCTCATTTAAAATTGGGACCATTTTAGTGAAGTTGGACGATTACGTTTACTATTATTATTATTATTATTATTATTATTATTATTATTAGACGTTTTATAGACTTTGGCGTTATTTCGGTACATAGCATTTTACCGCGACGTGACGTTGACGTCACTTTTGTTATGTTTTGTACATTTGAATTTAGAGTTGAAAATACAGTCGTTGAAACCAGACGTTCATATTCAGTTGTTAATGTCATTCTGACATTGGTAGTTTAGCGCGGAGGAAGGTAGTCTTGTACTGGTGTACCTCTCTAGGAACGATGGTTAGGAAACTACCCGCCTATATGACTGAAATACTGTTGGGAAAAGGCGTAAAATTAAACAAACAAACAAACAAAATAGATTTTGGTGTTGAGGGTTCCAAGGTTAAGATCACATTGACCTTGAAGGTAATAACGGTTTCCGATCAATCACTGAAAAACACTTTGGCTTAGGAACTTCAAACTTGGTATGATGGTTGATCATGACCAGTATATGACCCCTATTGATTTTAGGGTCAAACGTCAAGGTCACATTGGCCTTGTACATGACCAGTAAGTCAACAACTCAACTTGCCTTGGTTGATATTTTATTTAACTTAAAATGCTTTTGGTATACACATTTCAAGGTCTTTTGTAATATAATAAATTGGCTGTCATTAAGGCCTACATGATTTATGAAATTTATGCATACATTATTTTTTGGTTAGATTTGTGATAACTTTGTCATAAAATTGCTGAACACAACCTTAAAAGTCACAATTACTTAGTGAAAAGACAGTCAAATTAACCTGATCACATGACTTATTGGCTGCAGATAGGGGGCATACATGTTTTATAAACATATTTTGTTTTGCATTTGACTTTGAACAGCAAAGCTGAAAAGGAGCTGTTTTCGGACCTTCGACTGTTGTTTTTGTAAAAGTTTAGCTGTTTTCATTTAATGCTTTTTTTTATTTTGGCGTTGCTATCTGCTCATTTGGTATTAAATCTTGGCTTGCTTTTATTGAATCTGTTTCAGTGTTTTCCATAGATTCATAATTAGTCTTAAGTTTGCTTAGTTTTTTTTTGTTTATTGGGAAGTGATCTGAACAATCTTTTTCTTGGCCCTTTTCTTCTGTTTGGAAATGTCAAGTTGACAACAAGCGGAGACTTTTCTGAATTACCTCTGTCGTAACCATTTGTCTCCTATGTCGGATGATGTACACGGTCTATCTCTATTATTTCTCTTTCAATCTTCTTCTTCAGTCGCTGACGTTGTAGATACTTTGCATTGCGTTTTAATTTGTCTCTTTTTGGTAACAATGAGGAGGCAACGTATTTTCTTCTTTGTCTTGCTTCTTGATATATTTCCGTGTCTTGTTTCATTCTTTTACGGTATTCTCGCATAATTTAAGCTTTAGACATCGCCATATCTGTCTGTAGTAAGAAATGATAAGTTATTATTGGCCAGAAGCTTGAAAAAAGACTGTGGTTACTGAAAGGTTCGTGACCGATGATAACGTGCCTTTCATTGAAAGAAATGGTTATTCCATTATGCTTTCCCCACTTAATTTTTTTTTTAAATTTGATTTTAATTTTCTTCATATTTTAACGTTATAAAGGATTTTGATGAAAACGTTCGCTTTGTTTATAACATGCCCTGCAAATGTTAAGCCGTAATTTTAGAAAGAATTGCAACGTCACAATCCAAAGATTGTCCATAAAAAGAATGAAAAGTTATTGTTGCCAAACACAGTAGTTATTGACAAAATGGTGTTAAAATTGTGAGAATAATCCATAAAGGTTAACACAGCAATGTGCTTTCAAAATGTATAAATTTGGGTCCGAGTGGGAGCATCTCTGAAATCGAGTCTGAGTGGGAGCATTTTCCATTTTTATAAAAAAAAAACCTTTAAAAGACTGACTTTTGAATAGAAATATTTGAAACTAATAAAGAATAATGGGTATACATGACTCGGTTTATGTTCCAATACGTTAAAAATAATTTAAAAAAAAGTTTTCAACCTTATTTCATATATGTTTCGGGAGAAGTCCGAGTGGGAGCATTCAGAGAAAAACACTTATCCCGTTTTCAGGCCTAAACCAGGCAATAAATCTATAAACTTTTTTTACAATTATCTCAAGTACTATAGCCATTCTTTGGTGCGCTACATGATTTTTTAATACTCTTACGTTTTCTTATAATAAAATTGTATTTTACCTTTGAGTCGACGAAAAAATGGTCCAAGTGGGAGCATTCAGCAGGTGCGCGATGACGTAGTATCCTACCATTGAACTAGCATTTAAAGAAAACATTTAATTTGACAACAAACAATATTGTCGCGTGCCGGCAGAACAGGGCTTCAGCACGAGTTGTTTGTTGATCTATTTTTGGTAGCGCTATCTTGTACTCTTATAGGGTTCTTACTGTACTAATGGTTGTAACTGTACTAATGGTTCGAATTAATATGGCAAAGGCGTTGTTAATGAGTTATCTACTAGCAGTTGAACCATATATGTATATCAAAAATGTAGCACAAATCAGATGTAACACTTCAACAAATTTTTTTTGTGTATTAAAAAATGTCAACACACAATATAATATATAAGTTATTAAAACAGCAACTGTCACAATTATTCAAAGGAAAATGATGAGCAATATTCATTTGTAGTTAAATACGCCCATAATTCAGTTATTAAGATGCTATTACAACATATGAGTTTGTTAACTTATGATACTTAATAATAATTTAAAATAGTACAGCGCAGGAAGCATTTAAATCAAAATTTCGCTGATATTGTCGCGTGTAAAATTAAGACGTTAACAGCGTTCCAGAAAAATATATGCAAGTCAGTGAACCGTAGCCGCTATTATCATTTCTCAATAACAGCAGAAAAATAATGTTCAAAGTCAATAAATACTAATTCTATATTGCGAGAAAGTAACAAATTATGATGTAAATAATTATAAAATAAGTATCTTGTAAATAAATCGCCTTCCTGTAAAGAATCATGCTTACTAAAATTAATGGCGCTAGACCGCAGACGAATTTATACAATAAGTTAAATGTCCGCTAAATTTTCTAATGTTTCAAATTTTCTAAGACAGCGTAAAGGCATGCTGCTTCTAAGAAAGAAAAGACTAGACTGACCCAAACGGCTGATTTCGCCGTATTTATATGAAAACGCCCAACCCCTGCCCAAAAGTGGTTGGAATGGTAGAAAAACGATCAACAACAAAAAATGGTTGACGGCTGTCAGACAAAAATGATCGGAAACGATCATAAACTATAAGCAAATACAATAATGGTTATTTCCAAAAATTCTCTACCTTTTGTGATGTATTTTCTTGTGTACCAAAACGGAACATCTTCTGCCTACTTAGTGTTTACAGAAACTAACGATGCAAAAGCTATAAAAAGCCAATAATGCAAAGTACAAAATGGCGGCGAACAGTAAATTTCCAACACATGAAAATTACATTTTAAGGAAAATACAGTGAAATATGTGGATTTTAACAAAGTAACTTGGCAGTTTGTTAGAGAATTACATTCTTTATCTGAGAAAATCAGACTTTACATAAAAATACAAACATTTAAGGAATTATGACAGCTTAAAGTCAATATAAAATGGATTGTTTACAAACAATTACAGCTAAAATGTCACGGAAATTGATTTCTTACACATAATGTACCAGCAGATAATACTATTGGTATGACCTGTTTAAAACAGCTAAAGTGTGTTGTTTAAAAGTCAATGCACAGTTAATTTTTCATTTTATGCCTTGTTAAAGTCAACAACTGGTACTGGATTTTACAACCCACTGATAAAGTAAAGATCATATATGTAAGTTTTCTAAAAACATTATTGCTACACAGTTCACAGTTAAATTAATGGTTAATGCCTGATACCTGGGACACATCATTATAGCTAGGAATTTTTCAGTTCTCAAATTTTATTGATATTTTTAAATGATTCGAGTAATATTAGAGCTGTCATTGATTCAATAAAATGCAAATTTAAGATGAAAAAATTTTGATGATACACAGATATGTTGATAATTACATACTTTAAGTATCAACTACATGTCTCT